AAAACATCGATCAGCCGCCTCCTGCACACTCCACCAAGGATGTGCCCACAGCCAAGGTACATGCCCTTGACCGGAATCGAACCTGGGACCCTTCAGCCCGCAGGCCGATGCTCTATCCACTGAGCCACACCGGTTTCGGCAGGTGAGGTTTATTTTTTTAAAAGAATATATTCGGCTGAAACCGGTTTGGATCATTGGATAGAGAGTTGCCTCCTGCACGCCTTACACAGGGGATGGAGCCCGCAACCTGGGCCTGTGCCCTGACCGGGAATCTAACCCAGGATCCTTCAGTCCTAAGGCTGACTGTCCACTGAGCCAAACCAGCAGGTGAGGTTTGAAGGCAAGAAATGGCCCGGCCGGTGTGGCCCCGTGGTTGTGAGCATCAACCTGTGAACCAGGTGGTCACAGTTCGATTCCCAGTCAGGGCACAGGCCCAGGTTGTGGGCTTGATCCCCAGTGTGGGGCGTGCAGGAGGCACCTGATCCATGATCTTCTCTCATCACTGATGCTTCTCTCTCTGCCTCTCCCTTCCTTTCTGAAATCAATACAAATATATTTAACAACAACAACAAAAAACCAACACACACACACACACACAAACACACAATACATGCCCAGCTGGTGTGGCTCATTGGTCGAGCGTTGACCCATGAACCAGGAGGTCACTGATTCAATTCCCGGTCAGGGCACAGGCCCAGTTTGCAGACTCCATCTCCAGTGTGGGGTGTGCAGGCGGCAGCCGATCCGTGATTCTCTCTCATCATGGATGTTTCTCTCTCTCTCTCTCTCCCTCTTCCTTCCTCTCTGAGATCCATTTAAAAATATATTTTTTAAAAATGAATCTGGATGCAGCATAGCTTGAGCGGAGAAGGGAGCACTGGGAAGCAGGCTGGTCAGGCGGACCCCCGCGGCTCCAGGCGCAGGCCCGTGTCCTGGGAGCGAGACACACGCACACGCGTACCTGGGCGGGCAGGGCTCCGTGTTACACGCCTGGCTCATGGCGGGAGGCCGGTGCACCGAGTCACACAGCGAGTCGTTGACCGTCTGCCGGGTCTGCGTGTGCAGACACACCGCAATGGCCTCCTGATGGCCTGGAGGGTGGACGGAGACAGAAATGCAAATGATTTTTAAAAATCTTTTATATTTAAAAATAATTTTTTTTAATTGATTTCAGAGAGAAAGGCAGAGGGGATAGAGAGAGAGAGGAAAGACAGACAAACATGTTTCTCTTTCTCCCTCTCCCTTCCTCTCTGAAATCAATAATAATCTATACTAATAAAAGGGTAATATGCTGATTAGACCAGGAGACCTTCCGGACAAAGCCATGGCGGCAGGACAAGGCAGAGGCGGTTAGGGTCGATCAGGCCAGGGGGGGAGGGCATTTGGGGGTGATCAGGCTCGGGGGGGGGAATAGTTCGGGGCGAGCAGGCCAGCAGGGGTGGGCAGTTGGGGGTGATCAGGCAGGCAGGGGGAACAGTTAGGGTTCCAATCCCGGACAGGGCACATGCCCGGGTTGTGGGTTCAATCCCCAGTGTGTGGGGTGTGCAGGAGGCGGCCGATCCGTGATTCTCTCTCATCATGGATGCCTCTCTCTCTCTCTCTCTCTCTCTCTCTCTCTCTCTCTCTCTCTCTCTTTCTCTCTCTCTCTCTCCCCCCTCTCTCTCTCCCTTCCTCTCTGAAATGATAATTTTCTCCACACCACTGCACATGTGCTAAATTGGATGCCTACCCTTCCTGAAAATTTCATTCACTATCACCGTAAAGAGCGATGTGACAACTCGCTATTCCCTCCGTGGGGAGAGTGCTTTCATATGGATGATCCAAGGCCACCGTCCTCTTGTGAGGTCCACAGAGCCGTGTCCTTTTCCCTACGGTGCTCCTTTCACAGGAACGGCTCGGCCCTGGCTGGTGTGGCTCAGTGGATAGAGCGCCGGCCTGCAGACTGGAAGGTCCCAAGTTCAAGTCCGTTCAAGGGCATGTACCTTGGTTGCAGGCACATCCCCAGTGGGGGGTGTGCAGGAGGCAGCTGGTCAATGTTTCTCATCGATATTTCTAGCTCTAGCTATCTCCTTGCCTCTCTGTGAAAAATCAATAAAAAAAAAAAATTTTTTTTTAAAGAAGGGATGACTGCGGAATCAGATAGGAACAAATGATCAATCAAACGTGCGATGGCAAAAAGTAAAATCAGAGGAAGATTGTAACAGCCACCGACCGCACTGGTGGAAATGGGCAGACGTATCCGGTTCCAGGCGAGAATGTGGGTTCCGTTATGTGGTTTTTTCCCCCCCGAATGCCACGCTTCTATCCAGCCACGGGGCCATATTTACAGAATACGGTGTTTGCTGGAGGCTATAGCCAATGGGTGTCTGTGGGGCCTACCTGTCTCGACTAAACCCGGGTCGGCAAACCGCGGCTCGTGAGCCACACGCGGCTCTTGGCCCCTGGAGTGTTTAGCAGACGCCAGCTTAGGAGTCCCCTCTCTGAGTTCATAACGATGTGCCCTACCTATGTAGTTTACGTTTAAAAAATCGGACTTTCAGCCGAAACCGGTTTGGCTCAATGGATAGGGCGTCGGCTTGGGGGCTGAAAGGTCCCGGGTTCGATTCCGGTCAAGGGCATGGACCTTGGTTGCGGGCACATCCCCAGTAGGGGATGTGCAAGAGGCAGCTGATCAATGACTCTCTCTCATCGGTGTTTCTAACTATCTCTCTCCCTTCCTCTCTATACAAAATCAATAAAAAATATATTTAAAAAAAGTTGGACTTTCGAAAGAAATGCCGATGGTTGTGCTGTTGATATTTGGCTCCGTGGGCGAATGCGTTTGCCGACCACTGGACTAAATAAACTCTTTCCTGCTTCTTTGTAAGTTTAGGCTCCTGGTCACGGCAGGACCCAGTCTGAAACTTCCAGGATGATCTGTGGGTCCCGTTGCCTTTCACGTTCATTCTGGAGCTTTCCACTGCCTTTTTTTTTTTTTTTAAAGTATGTTTTTTTTCGATGCACGACAATTCGTGGAAGAGGAGGAAAATTCCTTCCCTCAGCTGCCGGCACCGGGACCCGGGCTTCTCTCCTCTGGCAGCAGGCAGGCACCCGGGACCCCGGCTGGCTTGCCCCACAGCAGCCCACAGGGACCTAGGACTGGGTTAGCTCCCCTCTCCCCCACAGCTTCATCAGGAAGGACGTCTGGTCTAATTAGCATATTACCCTTTCATGAAATTTGTGCATGACGGGGGGGGGGGGCGTCCCTCAGCCCAGCCTGCACCCTCTCCAATCTGGGACATCCCTCTCACAATCCAGGACTGCTGGCTCCCAACTGCTCACCTGCCTGCCTGCCTTCCTGATTGCCCCTAACCACTCCCCTGCCAGCCTGATTGATGTCTAACTGCTCCCCTGCCAGCCTAGTCACCCCTAACTGCCCTCCCCTGCTGGCCTGGTTCTCCCCAACTGCCCTCCCCTGCAGGCCTGGCCCCTACCAACTGCCCTCCCCTGCAGGCCTGATCACCTCTAACTGCCCTCCCCTCCAGGCATGATCACCTCTAACTACCCTCCCCTGCAGGCCTGGTCACCCCCAACTACCCTCCCCTGCAGGCCTGGTCCCTCCCAACTGCCCTCCCCTGCAGGCCTGGTCCCTCCCAACTGCCCTCCCCTGCAGGCCTGGTCGCCCCTAACTGGCCTCCCCTGCAGGCCTGGTCGCCCCTAACTGGCCTCCCCTGCAGGCCTGGTCGCCCCTATCTGCCCTCCCCTGCAGGCCTGGTCCCTCCCAACTGCCCTCCCCTGCAGGCCTGCTCACCCCTATCTGCCCTCCCCTGCAGGCCTGGTCGTCCCTAACTGCCCTCCCCTGCAGGCCACCTTGTGTCCACATGGGGGCAGCCACCTTGCGTGTTGGAGTGACGGTCCGTTTGCATATCACCCTTTTATCTGCTAGGGAGATGGATTCCAGAGAGGAAGGAGAGGCAGAGAGAGAGACGCCAGACCCGGGGAAGGGAACCAGCAGCCCCTCGGTTCACAGACAGACACACACACACCCCGCCGGGCCCAGCGCCCCGCTCCCACGCGGACTTTCCCGGGGCCCAGTACCTCCCAGGCAGGTGGCGGTGCAGGGCGTGAAGCCGGCGTACTCCCAGTGGTAGGTGGGCTGGCCGGGCCCGGCGGGCAGGGCCGGGGCCGGGGCGGCGGGCGCCCCGGGGGCACAGGCCTGCAGCAGGCAGGGCCGCCGGGCGGGCGGCGGGGGGCCCTCGCACTCCCCCGGGGGCAGCTCCGTCTCCGTCCCCGCGAAGCTGAGCAGCACGCGGCACCGGACCTCCCGCACCTGCACGCCCGGCCCGCAGGGGGCGCTGCAGGGGGACCAGGGCTCCGGGACGAACCTGCGGGGACACCAGGGGGGACACCGGTCACTCAGGCCGCCCGGGGGGCAGGGGGGCGAGCATCCTGTGGAGGGAAAATAGGCTTCATCCCCATCACATCCCATCTGGTCCCAGTGCTCTAGGTTTTTATTATTTTTTTAAATTTATTTTTCATTTTTAAAATAGATTTTTATTGATTTTTGTACAGGGAGGGAGAGAGATAGTCAGAAACATCGATGAGAGAGAGTCATCGATCAGCTGCCTCCTGCACGCCCCCTACTGGGGATATGCCCGCAACCAAGGTCCATGCCCTTGACCGGAATCGAACCCAGGACCCTTCCGTCTGCAGGCCGATGCTCTATCCACTGAGGCAAACCAGTTTTGGCTAGGTTGAAAAAAATTTATATATATATTTTTTTTCTTTCTTTTTTTTTTTTTTTTCTTTTTGCTCTGGCTGACGTGGCTCAGTGGATAGGGCGTCAGCCTGTGGACGGAAGGGTCCCGGGTTCGATTCTGGTCAAGGGCACATGCCCGGGTTGTGGGCTTGATCCCCAGTAGGGGGCGTGCAGGAGGCAGCCAAGCGGTGAGTCTTCCTCATCATTGACATTTTTTTAAAATATTTTTTTAAAAATTGATTTTGTACAGAGAGGAAGGGAGAGAGATAGAGAGTTAGAAACATCGATGAGAGTCATCCACCAGCTGCCTCCTGCACACCCCCCCTGGGGATGTGCCCGCAACCAAGGTCCATGCCCTTGACCGGAATCGAACCCGGGACCCTTCAGTCCGCAGGCCGACGCTCTATCCACTGAGCCACACCGGTCCCGGCTCATCATTGACATTTCTATCTCTCTCTCCTTCTCCCTTCCTCTCTGACATCAATAAAGATATATATATATTTTTTTTTTTTTAAATTTTTTTTAAAGGTCCTGCACTCACATGGGTCGATCCGTGGCCACCCTGGGCTCCTCCAGCTCCCGGGCTTGCTTCAGCCACGGCAGCTTCGCCTCCACTGGGTTTCTTTCTGGGGAAGGAAGAGCAGACACCACGAGCTTAGCTGCCAGGAAGCAGGAAGGAGCCGGTGCCGCCGTTCCTCGCTGAGGATTTCACCAACAACGAGGTCCCGCTCCACCCGGCCGGCCGGCCGGCGTGGCTCAGGGGCGGAGCATCCCCCTAGGAACCAGGAGGTCAGGGTTCCATTCCGGGTTGCGGGCTCCATCCCCAGTGTGGGGTGCGCAGGAGGCGGCCGGTCCATGATTCTCTCTCATCATGGATGTTTCTCTCTCCCTCTCCCTTCCTCTCTGACATCAAGAAAAATGCACACACGGAGCGGCCAGATGAGGATGATCTCTGAACGCATCATCATCTGGTCACTCGGTGTAGATCCCATAGAATAAAAGGCTCATAGGCACATGGTCCCCTCGACCGGAAGTCCGACCAGCAGGCAGGCCGGCCAGGCGCCCACGTCCCCTCCCCCTGGCCAGGCTGGCCGGACCCCACCCATTTATGAATGCATGCACTGGGCATATACTGAGTGGCCAGATTATTATGCATTTAAAGATCATCATAATCTGATCACTCGGTGTATATATATATATATATTTTTAAAGAATGTTATTACAATGAAACATATACACAGCAATATTAGAATGAGAGCTGGGAGACACCATTCAATGTAACTTTAAAACACAAACCCACTGCCCGAGCCAGTGTGGCTCAGTGGATAGAGCGCTGGCCTGTGGACCGAAGGGTCCCAGGTTCGATGCCGGCCACAGGCACGTACCTCAGTTGCAGGCTGGATCCCTGGCCCTAGTCATGGTGCATGTGGAAGGCAACCATCGACGTGTCTCTGTCTATCTCCCTCTCCTTCTCCCTCTCTCCCCCTCTCCCCCTCCCTCTCTCCCCCTCTCCCTCTCCCTCTCCCTCTCCCTCTCCCTCTCCCTCCCCCTCTTCCTCTCCCTCTCTCCCCCTCTCCTTTTCCCTCTCCCTCCCCCTCTCCCTCTCCCTCCCCCTCTCTCCCTCCCCTCTCTCCCTCTCCCTCTCCCTGTCACTCTTTCTAGAGACCAATGGGAAAATATCCTTGGGGGAGGATTAACAAAAATAATGTTATGTAATAAAGAGGCACTCTGCAAATGGACCATCACTCCAACACACAAGATGACCGCCACCGTGTGGACACAAATGGCCGGCAGGGGAGGGCAATTGGGGTGACCAGGCCTGAAGGGGAGGGCAGTTAGGGGTGACCAGGTCTGCAAGGGAGGGCAGTTGTGGGGGGACCAGGTCTGCAAGGGAGGGCAGTTGGAGGCGATCAAGCCTTCAAGGGAAGGCAGTTAGGGGTGACCAGGACTGCAGGTGAGGGCAGTTGTGGGGGACCAGGCCTGCAGAGGAGGGCAGTTGGGGTGGACTAGGCCTTCAGGGGAGGGCAGTTGGGGAAGGCCAGGCCTGCAGGGAGGGCAGTTAGGGGCAACAAGGCCTGCAGGGGAGGGCAGTTAGGGGTGACCAGGCCTGCAAGGGAGGGCAGCTGGGGTGGACCAGGCCTACAGAGGAGGACAGTCAGGGGCAACCAAGCTGGCAAGGGAGGGCAGTTAGGGGTGACCAGGCCACCAGGGGAGCAGTTAGGCATCCATCAGGCTGGCAGGGGAGAGCAGTTAGGGGGTAATCAGACTGGCAGGCAGAAGCAGTTAGGGGCCATCAGGCAGGCAGCCAGGCAGGCGAGCAGTTGGGAGCCTGCAGTCCTGGATTGCGAGAGAAATGCCCACTGGGATCCGGCCTACACGGGCAGTCGGCCATCCCTCGAGGGGACCCAGACTGGAGAGGGTGCAGGCTGGGCTGAGGGACACACACACACACATACACACACACACACACACCCGCCCTCCGTGCACCAATTCCGTGCCCCGGGCCTCTGGTACCTAAGCAACGTGCACACCCACCTCTGGGTTTGTAGCAGGGGACGGGGACCAGGCACTCCTCCTTGATGTGCAGCTTCAGCTGCGGGTTGCAGCCGCCCACGTGCTGCCCCCGGTGGTTGATGCACAGCACGACCCGGTAGCGCAGCCCCCGGCCGCAGGTCACCGTGCACTTGGGAGAAGGAAGGGAGAGAGAGAGGCCGGTGAGACCCACCGAGGCGGCCGCAGTGCGAGGCAGAGGCCGTGGCTCCGCGTCGGCGACCCGCAACCGGTGCGCAGCTGAACGTTTTAAAGCGCCCAGCACCGCCCTGGCCGGGGTGGCTCAGTGGGTAGCGCACCGTGCCGCGGACCGAAGGGTCCCGGGTTCGATTCTAGGCGAGGGCACATGCCCGGGTGGCAGGCTCCTCCCTGCAGGCCTGGGTCCTGGTTGGGGCACGTGCAGGAGGCAGCCCATTCGATGTGTCTCTCTCCCATCGATGTTTCTCTCTGTCTCCCCCTCTTCCTCCCAATCTCTGAAAATCAATGGGAAAATATCCTCAGGTGAGGATTAAAAAAAAAAAAATCATCATCGCCCAAACCGGTGTGGCTCAGTGGATAGAGCGTCAGCCTGTGAACTAAAAGGTCCCGGGTTCGATTCCAGTCAAGGGCATGTGCCTTGGTTGCGGGCACATCCCCAGGTGGGGGGCGTGCAGGAGGCAGCTGGTTGATGTTTCTCTCTCATCGATGTTTCTTACTGTCTATCCCTCTCCCTTCCTCTCTGTAAAAAAAAAATCAATAAAATATATTAAAAAAATAATCCCAGATAATAAAAGGGCAATATGCCAATAGACCAAACAGCAGAACTAAACAACCAATAAAGAGCAATATGCTAATGATACGCTAAGGCAGCTCAACTGCTCACTATGACATGCACTGACCACCAGGGGGCAGTCAACTGGTCGACCAGTTGCTCTGACGTGCACTGACCACCAGGGGGCAGACAGTCAACTGGTCGACCAGTTGCTCTGACGTGCACTGACCACCAGGGTGCAGACAGTCAACTGGTCGACCAGTTGCTCTGACGTGCACTGACCACCAGGGGGCAGACAGTCAACTGGTCGACCAGTTGCTCTGACGTGCACTGACCACCAGGGGGCAGACAGTCAACTGGTCGACCAGTTGCTCTGACGTGCACTGACCACCAGGGGGCAGACAGTCAACTGGTCGACCAGTTGCTCTGACGTGCACTGACCACCAGGGGGCAGACAGTCAACTGGTCGACCAGTTGCTCTGACGTGCACTGACCACCAGGGGGCAGACAGTCAACTGGTCGACCAGTTGCTCTGACGTGCACTGACCACCAGGGGGCAGACAGTCAACTGGTCGACCAGTTGCTCTGACGTGCACTGACCACCAGGGGGCAGACAGTCAACTGGTCGACCAGTTGCTCTGACGTACACTGACCACCAGGGGGCGCATGCTCCAACCAGTAGGTGAGCTTGCTTCTCTCCCTCCCTCTCCCTTCCTCTGTAAAAGTCAATGAAATATATATATATTTTTTAAAAACCCACAAAACCCCGGCACCCCGGGCCCGCCCCGGCCCGCCGGCTCACCTGGGACCAGGCCATGGCTACCCACGTGGGGCAGTGGAAGAGGTTGCAGGTCTGCATGACCTTGGGCCGGGGCGCGTACATGCACTTCCACTCCTCCACCTGCAGGATCTCGCCGTGCAGCGACTCCTCCACGCACACGAAGCTGCGGCGCTGGGTGCCGCCGCCGCACGACGCCGAGCACGCCGTCCACGGGTTATGTTCCCAGCTCGGAGGAAAGAGACCGAGCACGTCACCCCGGCCGGCCACGCGCGTGCGGGCGTGTGCGGGCGCGCACATGTGTGTGCATGTGTCTGCGCATGTGTGCGTGTGTGCATGCGCGCGTGGGTGTGTGTGCGCGCGTGCACGGGCGTGCGTGTGCGAGCATGTGTGCACGTGTGCGCGTGTGTGCGTGTGTGCGTGTGTGCGTGTGTGTGTGTGTGTGAGATCAGGTTGCAGAGAGGATCACAGCTGTGGTTGGGCTCAAAGAGCAGGGGATGTGGAGGATTAAGCCTTAAGTCTTCATTCACTCATTCATTCGTTCACTCATTCATTGCTTCACTCATTCGTTCGCTCGTTCATTCACTCATTCATCATTCACTTATTCGTTCATTCATTCACCCATTCATTCATTCACGCATTCATTCATTCACTCATTTATTCATTCGTTCACACATTCATTCACTCATTCATTCATTCACTCATTCATTCGTTCGTTCACTCATTCATTCACTCATTCATTCGTTCACTCATTAATTCACTCATTCACTCATTCACTCATTCATTCGTTCGTTCACACATTCGTTTACTCATTAATTCACTCGTTCGTTCATTCACTCATTCATTCGTTCACTCATTCATTCGTTCACTCACTCATTTATTCATTCACTCATTCATTAGTTCATTCACTCACTCATTTGTTTATTCACTCATTCATTCATTCACACATTCATCCATCCATGTATTCACTCATACATTGATTTGTTCACTCATTCATTTTTATCCTCAACCCTGGATATTTTTCTGTTGATTTTTAGAGAGAAAGGGAGGGAGAGGCAGAGAGACATGTCGATGGGAGAGAGACACATCGATGGGCTGCCTCCTGCACGCGCTCTGACCAGGGCCCGGGACGGGGAGGAGCCTGGCACCTTGACTGGAATTGAACCCAGGGCTCTTCGGTCCGCAGGCTGACGCTCTATCCACTGAGCAACACCGGCAACACCGACTTTCAGCGTAGCTGCTACACGGTCTACCGTCACGGGTGACCTCTGACCCTGAGGTTACTGTCCTGTGGGAGCGGTCCGCCTGCCCCATTCCCCGTCACAGCGCTCGGAGCGTGAATAGGAAAGCCTCTTTGAGCTGTCTCCACGCTAGCCCTCCTGGCGTGGCTCAGAGGTTGAGCATCGACCGAGGAACCAGGAGGTCAGGGTTCGATTCCCGGTCGGGGCACAGGCCCGGGTTGTGGGCTCCATCCCCAGTGGGGGGCGTGCAGGAGGCAGCTGATTCATGATTCTTTTTCATCATGGATGTTTCTCTCTCCCCCTCTCCCTTCCTCTCTGACATCAATAAAAACTACAGATACAGATATAGATACAGATATATATATATATAGATAGATAGATAGATAGATAGATAGATAGATATTAAAAAAGCGTAAGAACATCACTCACCGAGGGAGGGGCTGGAAGTGGTCATAGGGCCTGATCTCCTTAAAGCCGTCGCTGCAAAGGGAACCGTGTGAGAGCATCAATCCTCAGCCAACAGTTTGTTTATTTTTTTAATGTTGTTTATTGATTTTTTTTTTTTTACAGAGAGGAAGGAAGAGAGATAGAGAGCTAGAAACATCGATGAGAGAGAAACATAGATCAGCTGCCTCCCTACTGGGGATGTGCCCACAACCAAAGTACATGGCCTTGTCCGGGTTCGAACCCGGGACCCTTCAGTCTGCAGGCCGACGCTCTATCCACTGAGCCACACCGGTTAAGGCGTATGAACTTGATGAAGACAGATCTGACGTCCCGCACGCCGAATCTCTCTCACAATGAAAGCTAAGTAGCCCAGGCCGGGGTGGCTCAGTGGATAGAGTGTCGACCTGTGGACAAAAGGGTCCCGGGTTCGATTCCGGGCAAGGGCATGGACCTTGGTTGCGGGCACATCCCCAGTGGGGGGCGTGCAGGAGGCAGGTGATCGACATTTCTCTCTCCTCGATGTTTCTAACACTCTGTCCCTCACCCTTCCTCTCTGTAAACAATCAATAAAGTATATTTAAAAAAATAAAATAAAATAAAAAATTGAAAAAGAAGTATGTGTCTATCATGAAAGCAAACAAACAAACTACAAACACACAAACAACAAACAACAATACAAAGGCCCTCCGAGCCGAAACCGGTGTGGCTCAGTGGATAGAGCGTCGGCCTGCGGACTGAAAGGTCCCGGGTTCGATTCCGGTCAGAGGCATGTACGTTGGTTGCGGGCACATCCCCAGTGGGGGGTGTGCAGGAGGCAGCTGGTCGATGATTCTCTCTCATCGACGTTTCTAGCTCTCTATCTCTCTCCCTCTCTGTAAAAAATCAATAAAATATATTAGGAGAGCGGGCAGGGCGCCCCCACCTGGCGGGGCAGGGGTCCATGCCGCACTCCTTCAGCTTGGGCTTGGGCTTCACGTTCTCGGGGTAGTAGTGGCAGTAATGGTCGGGGACCACCCTCTGCAGGCGCGTGTCCACGCACTCGGCCGAGTTCAGCTGGTAACCTGCGGGGGACGCGGGGCAGGGCGGGGAGGGAGAGAGGGGGAGAGAAGGACGGTCTGAGAATCGCACCTGTTTCTTCCTGCGTGGCTGCCCTCTCACGCCCACACCCCATGTTCCCCCTCCCCTCTATTTAAGAAACTGAACTCAGGCCCGGCTGGTGTGGCTCAGTGGTTGAGCATCAAACAACGAACCAGGAAGTCAAGGTTGGTTTGATTGCCTGGGTCCTGGGCTCGATCCCCAGTAGGGGGCGTGCAGGAGGCAGCCGGTCCATGATTCTTTCTCCTCTTAGATGTTCCCTCCCCCCCCTCCCTCTTTTCCTCACTGTAAAAAACAAAATCAATAATATATGTGCGTGTGTGTGTGTGTGTGTGTGTGTGTGTGTGTGTGTGTGACTCAGTGAATAGAGCATCGGCCTGAGGACTGAAGGGTCCCGGGTTCGATTCCGGTCAAGGGCATGTACCTTGGTTGCGGGCACATCCCCAGTTGGGGAGTGTGCAGGAGGCAGCTGATGGATGTTTCTCTCTCATTAATGTTTCTAACTCTCTATCCCTCTCCCTTTCTCTCTATAAAAAAACATATATATATATATATATATATATATATATATATTAAAAAAAATAAAAAGAACCGGGACCGGTGTGGCTCAATGGATAGAGCATCAGCTTGGGGACTGAAGGGCCCCGGGTTCGATTCCGGTCAAGGGCATGTGTCTTGGTTGCAGGCACATCCCCAGTAAGGGGGGGATGTGTGTGTGCAGGAGGCAGCTGATGGATGACTCTCTCTCACTGATGTTTCTGACGCTCTACCTCTCTCCCTTCCTCTCTGTACAAAAATCAATAAAATATATATATTTTTTTAAAAAAATAAAAAGAAACTTAACTCAGACCCGGCTGGTGTGGCTCAGTGGTTGAGCCTCGAACAATGAACCAGGAAGTC